ACAGAGCTACAGCTCTGTCTTCGAGGAACTCAAGAACAGAGTCGAAAAGATTCCAAAACCTATTGAGACATGCACCTTTGGAAAGTCAGTGAATCTCGGTGTGTAGGAGCAAGTGATATTCTTCATCGTTTTTCTTACATAGCTGTTTGAATAATCAATCTTTGAGAGCATTACTGCTAATTTGTTCACAGCAGGTATAACACATTGCTAAGACTGATGCCAACTGTCACTTTTATTTTTTCCTACTAAATGCTGTCTGTGAATCACGCAATGAACAGCTAAAGTATCTGATAACTCCCTCTTCAAAACGGCGATGAACCCACCCTGTCAATTCGCTATTACAGGAGCTTCGTCAGTGAAGCAGAAAAAATATTCACAAGAGGAATGTTTTGCTTCTTAAAATAATATTTGACAGCATTGAAAATAGATTCACTTTTGGTATCTACAATAAAGCAATAAGCATATCCTCGATCATTTTTCTTTCCCTTACAAATCGGACATACGCCAACAGTAAAGCCTACATAACTTGGCAAGGTTGATTCATCAACTTGAAAGGAAAATTCATTAGATATCGAAAGTTTGCATACGGTAACTTCAATCTCTTCAGTCACCTCATCAATTCGTCACAGCCCTGTATCGTTGCTTAATTGGATATTTTTGATTAAATTCGATGCAGCTGGATGGTGTAAAACTTCCTCGTCAGCCGGGAGCATCAACTCTTTGCTGATGATATGAGCTTACCAAATTTAGGAATTAATTTATAGAGGCAGGAATTTAGGAATTTATATATTATAAGAGGCAATCAAACCTTCGTCGCATTTTTGTGCTGAGGTTGCTAGTAAGCCTGAGACCGTAGAACTTCTCTTCAGAAACGTGACTTTGATGCTCGGAAAAGTGACAAATCTTTCTTTTGTTTTTCAGGATGAATTTTTTGCAAATGCTCCTACTAATGAAAAGTTTCCATTGCCACACTAGATAAAATTTTGTTATAAAATAAACACATGGAAAGTTGAGAGTTTGACAGCGATTGAGCAAATCCAAACTTCAAGTACGTGACACTGTATTGACGACACTTACTTAACCGACATTGTTGGTGGCAGCAAAATACAACAATGAAAGAAAATCAACTATTTCTTCAAATTAATAAATAATTTACGATAAACAACTAATTCACCCACGTACCTGGCCGAATAAAGAATAAAATCAAATCGAAACTGGGGGAAAACTTAATTGAAGTGAACGAAAACCATCATAAGAAACTCGGGTCAAATCGAGCATTCAGACTAAAAGCTCATGCACTTCAATTTTCACTAAATGGCTTAAATGAGTCAGAAGCAAAACTACTGACTCCTGCGTTACGCTGTGCTGGTTCGGATCGGAGGATAGGTGCCGCAAAAGTTTGTTTTATTGGTGGTATAAATGGTGTATCAGATAATCGTAGTTTATTATACAGGGTGTTTATAAAGTTCCGGACCCATTTTGATGTTTAATAACACATAAAATAATAAAGATAGATTAAAATTAATAACCTAAATGGAGTCAAAAAGTTTCGTGACCCTTGTCAATGAACTGCCACGTGTGCCCCCTTCGTCGCACGGAGAATATCAAGTCGATAGTCAATTTCACGCCTGGTAGCTGCAGGCATGTCTGCATCCACAGAGGCTATTGCGGTTGTAATTCTGACTTTTAGGTCATCAATGTTCGACACTATCCTCCGGTAAACATTTTCCTTTATAAATCCCCATAAGAAAAATTCCAGGAATTGGACCTCCTCGCCCAATTTATCTTCCTGAAAAATGGTCATTCGTAGTTCTTTGAATGGGTCCGAGACTTTATAAACACCCTGTATTAATTTAATCTTCTTTTCTTAATATTAATTTTAGATTAATTTTATTTATTATATAAATCTTAATTTAATAATTTTATTTAGGAGTTATGAAGTTAAATTTGAATAACAAAACAAGCTCATCGCTCCCCTACTGCCCAAAACATACCCAACGCCCCCCACCACCCAAAACAAGTCCACCGCCCCTCGACATACTCCCATCGCCCCCGTTGAGAAACAATGGTCTAGAGCCATCATAACACACCGAATAAAAAGATTTCCTTTCTCTCACCGATCCAAGCCAAAACCTGTTTAAAATATTGACCTCACATCTATACTTGAAATAGTTATACCTTTTAATCATAGTCACCTCCAAGGGTCCAGACGAATGGCTAGGGGAGTTCTTACTATAGACAAACTATATTTAACAACTCTAACCTTCAGGTATCTCTTAGCTTTAAAAAACCGAATCTCCAAGAATGTTTTTTATTGACTCGCGTCATCCACGAACTCACTTTTATCCTTTATTTGACCCTTTTCTTACAAATTGTCTAATTTAACTTCTTTCAGAAATACCGATAGGGGGCATAGTCATTCCTCAAGAAAAGCATTTTAGTTTTTGCTCCGAGATTAAAAAGGCTGTGTTTCGTCGAAAACTCCGCCACTCCTCTTGGGATTTTCTTCCCACTTATATTTTTTGAAACTGGCATTTTAAATCGTTTTTTGTGATGTTATTATTGGTAGCGTGTTCAACACTTTATCATGAAGTCCGAGAATAAAATTTTATGCTTTATTTTCATCTGTTAGTGTTTATTGTAGCACATGTTTGATTTTAAAAGTATGGGAGTTATGAATTGTATTACTTTACATTTGGCTTCTGCTTAGATATTTCTGCCAAAATTGCAGTGACACCGATGTACTGTAGTATTGATCGCGATGACCTGTTCTAAATTCTACGGCTTTATGCTGATTTGTCTTTTTGACTCTTTACTGGCATTTAATGTGTAACCTTCTTTCAATAATTTTTTATCTCTTTACCACACTTTGTCACACTACTTTTAAAATTAACAAGGAATCAGTAATAAAAAAAAACATTATTTACATACGTAATCATATCAATTAAATTTCATCTAATTCAAATTAAGAACTCAAATATACTCTACAAAGACCTTCTGCATTTTTGTTCTTACAGCCAACTCACTAGATGAGGTTATATTTAACCAAGTATCTATAAAATGCTCACGCACTACATTGGGAACTCTTCGTTTCCTTTGATCGGTAACCAATAGATCTAGCAAGGATTCAAAATCTTTTATTTCTAATCCCAGAACTCATTCATTTAGGAAGTTCTTTAATTATATAACGAAATCTTTCCAACTAATATCATTTTTGGGTGCTGAATAAATTTGATCCTAATTTTTTCTGAACTTTGCTTAAACCGTACCGGTTCATTAAAAAAATTTTTAACGTGGTCATAGATGTAAGTTTGTTCCTCAGATTCTCTTGCTAATAATTTTGTTATATCAGGTGAAAGAAAAGGTAATGGATGAGTAACCCACTCTTTTTCAGGAATCTCTGCTAGTTTTGCTAGACGCTCAAAAATTACTAAATACGGGCTAGTTTCATCTTCCTCAGGATCAAAATTCTGCAGTAACTTGTGGATATCCAACGTGTTCCGTTGAGTTGTATTATTATTGTGATTATAATATTTTGATTTGAAGGACCACTTGGTTGGATACTATGTATTAATCGCTCTAATTCAAATTCAAGTTCTTCTCGGTGTTTTATTTTCCTTTCCTTTTCTTTTTCTTCTTGTCTTCGCCGTTTTGTGCGGTTTTTCCCCTCTTCTTTTAAGATAGGATTTTTCTTCATTACTTCTAACACATCCACTTCGCAATTTTTAGAGTTTTTACTTAGATTTATCCGATCCGTTTATTAGATAAAATGTGATTTTAATATGCGTCTTCATATTTATAAGCAGAACTTGGGACAATTTTTCTAATTTCAGTAATCTCCCATAACTTTCGGGTAAACTTAAATTTGCCGTACAAAATAGAGTACATTCAGAACTTTTTTTTTTGCCTGATTTCGTGATTATTGAAAGACATCCGAATAGTTTAACTAACTTATATAAGGTTAGACTTATTAACATTGCATTATAATACGTGACACTCCAATCACCAAACTAAAAGTTATTAACGTGTTGTGTTTATAAAATTTCCAACAGTTCATTGGATTATTCTTAATACATAAATTATTTTTGACTTTATGCAATTTATCGTGCTTGTAGTTTTTCCGTTTCATAGTGGCTAAATATCAATATCTTGATGTGGTCATGTTTCATTCTCGAAAATATAATTCTGATTAACTAAGCGAATGTTTCATTTTAAATTCAATAAGATTCTTAAAACATTTTTTTTCCGTAATAATTTTTTTCAAGACCAGTTCTTATTAAATTTATAAAAGATTAATCAGAAATCGATAACATTTTTAAATGAGCATTTATTTGAATATTCATTTCTTTCTGGATACCCATGGGGAAAGGACAGTGTTTCTTCGTCACAAGAGGCCTACAAGAGTTTTTAAATTTGTGTTTTTCCGATATTTTTTTGTTTTAAAAAAACTTTTGATGCTATTGGATAGCACATTACATTTTAAAAAAGTAGAAAATATCGAGGTCGCTTTATTAGTTATTAGATTAGGAGAAATAGCGCTTCATAATTTTAAGAACTTCTATGAATTGTTCCTCACACAGCAAAATAATGCAATAAAAGGATGCGATTTGTGGTTATGAGTAAATAATTTAACTCCACTCGTTTCTCAACTTTTTGATTTTTAACATCTAATCTCATTACAGTTTAAATTTTTTAAAAAAAGCAATTTGTATGACGCTAAAAATTTCCTTAAATGTTAATTGTGTAAAAAAATACTTATCAAAATTCTAACAATTAATAACTGTTTACTATTTAAATATCTTTTAAAAATTGTTTACTTCAAAATTGTATTGACATCATTTGGTGAGGAAATAATTCTCTTTAACCAGTTTATTGTCATTGCGATTTATTATTTTCTTTTTAATTACTTGAATCATGTTATTTTAATTACTGCAAGCGCAGAGGTGTTGATAAAGTTTTGTGTTAAATGGGAAGTTTCGAAAATATTATAAATCATAAACTGTAAAATTCAGTTTTAACAATAGCAAAAGACATAGTGCTTGTTTTCAACATTTTTTTATAAAGTGATACTAATGAGATTACTTTTCACTGTCTGGAAGATAAAACAATACCATCTTCTTGCTCCAATTCATTTTTAATTTCTTTACTTTCATTAAAAAACTCCTTTGTCATCCAAAATCTAGTCACTGGACTGAGGCATACTGAATTTTCAGGAATAACATTGTTTTTCCAACCTGAAAAATAAATACTTAACATATAATTTAAATAAATGTAATAAGAATGCATTCAATAATAACAATGGAGCAGAAATCAATGATAAGTATACAGTATGACCTATATAAATGAAGCAGAATATTTATATGTGTGTGCAAATTCGTAATTTTAAAACGAACCCCGCCAAATTTGGTACACATGTATTTGAAGACACGGCGGATCTGTCCAGGGCCGCCTCGAAAGAAGGAGGAGTTACAGTTGAATAGGGGGTCTCGGTACTGAAAGTGATCTTCAGCTCTGACGTCATGCATCACGATCCATGTTTCAGCTGGTTTGTGTTGTATGCTGTGTTGATTACATAACAAAATTGTTTTTTTTTTTCTTGTTTTTTTCTTTCAGAAAATAATGAATGCACTACTAGTTATTATTCTAATTGTCCGTGTTTTGATCTTATTTGTTGTATGATTGCATTAAAGAAATATTAGCTTTTGGAATTTTAAGCATTTTCATTAAAATTCTAAGGAATTTCTTCTAAGCCTTATATAAAATTTGTTATTTTACGAGTGGTGATGAAAAAAACAAATTATATTTTGCTTTTGTTGGTTGAAGCATCTAACAACACTGTCAGGCTTAAAAACTTCCCTTTGAATGATTTCTTCTGTTTGGTTATTTTAGTGAAACACATTTCAAAATGTAATTTCTATTTATTTATTTAATTTTTTTTTTGTGTAATACAAATTGTACAAAATTGTCAAAAATGCAATGCTATTGGTAAATAGTTTTTAAGCTTTTAGTGGGAGAATTCAATGTATTTTTAATACAATTAGGGGAGGAAAAAATATTTTTAAATATTGTCGTTACCCATGAAATTGGTTACTTAATACTAGTACATAATAATTTTGCTCATTTTATTAATAGTACAATACTTAAAATATGTTTCTAATATTTTTCTTGCTTTGTTATTCTATATATTCGCTTTTAATCCTGACTGGTTTAAGTTTTCTTTTGAATAGTTTCTTTTGTTTTGCTAGTTAAACAAAAATTATTGCAAGATAGTATTTATAAGAACAAATGATTCACCGCCAGTTATTTTAATTTTTCATATCTTGTCTGTATTTTTATTTATTTATTTTTTATTTGTTTTTATTTATTTTTTATTTATTTTTATTTATTTTTTATTCTATTTTTTTATGTGACTAGTCTCCTACCTGAAAGTATTCCAATTATTTGGTTCAAAACTTCCTATTAGTAAATATCAATAGATTGAATGAAGATTTAGTTGAATCATAAAAAGTGTAGTTGGTTGTTCAACTTATATGGATTTAAAATATAATTTGCAATAAATAATTGTTAAGCAACATCATAGCTAAATCACATTTTTATTTTTTTGAATTAAAAAAAAGATAACTTGGAGAAGAAATATTTACTATCTGTAATTAAAATGTTTTAACGAAACTCATAACATTTATTAAATTGGCTAGTTATCTCTCTATACATTCAGATTCAACTTTTCCTAGGGATGATAATTTCATTTGCACTAAATTTTATGAGGTTAAAGGTTTGGTAATTTAAGATGCGAAAGAAGCTGGAATACATGCATAAAATAAATTATGTTTAATTAGAATAAATTAAATTCTAATTAATGTCACGTAATTTAGGCAGAAGAGATATTTGAAAAAATTACTTGAAATTCGTTGAAATTCGTTTTATTTTTTGACTTCATTCAAACTACTAAAGAAAAAGTGAAGAAACGTATCTGGATCGTAATGCGTGACGTCAGAAAACGAGTGCCGTGGCCCCCTAAACTATAACTCCTCCTTCTTTCGAGGCGGCCCTGATCTGTCTCCTGCTATGAGGAGAATTCCTCTCGCAGTTAGTCTGGTGCAGTGACGGGGACCATAGTTACAAGGCTTAACTATTTCTTAAAAAAAGGGGGTGTTGAGATAATATTTAAGACGGTTTTAGTTCGGGTCGTTGAAAAAAAGGGAATCAGAGGAGCCGAAGCTCCCCTTATTAAAATGCGCTATTTTTGTTTCCATAGCAGCACAGTGTCTCAGATTTTACGGCGAGGGGAGTTCTATCTTTGGACAAACTATAACTATTTACTTTGAAGCTTTCTTCGACCCTAGGTTCGCGCTACATGCTATAGAAAGCATTTCCAATGAATAATATTTTCAATAAATATTTGATAAATATTTTATGATATGTGCAGCTCTAATCATTGGAAAATTGTGGTTAATTCTGTATATAACATTTCAAATTATACTATTTGTATAACTGATAGTTATTTTGGCCTGGTGAAATTCTTACTCATAACTATTTAAAATCCAATAATATGGAACCGCACGGTAATAGGCTAATTTCCTGACGTATGATGAGGACGAATTCGTATTTTAAAAGGTATCTGCTACCACGCGTTTCTTAAATAGACTAAAATAATGGAAACCTCTCAAGAACTTATGAAATAAATTTGAAGTTATCTATTAAGCCATTGGAAAATCGTGGTAAATTCTGAATAACACATTTTAAATTATATTATTTGAATAATTTAAAATGTGTACAAATAGTATAATTTCAAATGTAAAATTATACTGTTTGTATAATTGTAAAATTTAAATTTGTATAGTTAAAACTAATAGTTATTTTGGCCAGGTGAAATTCTTACTCATTACTATGGAAAATCTAGTAATATGGAGCCACATGGTAATGTACAATAAACAAGATAAAAATATAGGTTTTGTACTAAGTGTCATGAATGTGTAATACGGTGATATTAAAGAACTTATCCGTTTTGGGGGTGATACAAATCCTATTACCACAGTACTTATATTAGGCACCTACTTTGTCATAATAGGTTCTAATTACCATGGTACTTATAGTAGCAATACCAATTGTATTTAATAGCAAATGCCATTAGGCATTACAGGCCTCATAATATTTTGATTATTTTTTAAGGTTATCGAAATAATTACAGATAATAGTTCATTTGCAAAAAATTGAAATTAATTTAGTCAACGTTTTTTTACAAACCTTATTGAGTTGAACTAAAGAATATTTAACAAGTTGTCATATTTGTCCATAAAAGCCTCAAAACTTGACAACACTGGCCCCACTGTTAGGGGGTAGTGTGAACAAAAACAAAATTTTGACAAAAAAATTGTTATGGAAAAACTGAATAACTTTGTAATTCCAATTATAAACCAGATATAGCCAGAAGGCAGGAAAACGTCAAAATTATTATTAAAAAAATACTTAATATCTAAAAATTCTACATAAGATATTAAGTATTAACATAAAGCTACCGGGAAAGACAAAAAACAAGAAGAAAAAATTGGAACCACTTTAGTTTAATTAATTGCGCCTATAGATATGACTTTCAATTTTGAACATGATTTCGTAATGTTGATTAATAACTATCTACTTGATTATGTGCTTTTTTTTCACCCCTCACGAATAATGGGTATCCAGCTAGTATATTTATAAAAATTATGCTCTTAAATTATAACACCACTATTTACCATGATAAATTAAAATAAGTATGTTTTTACTTTACCGGTTACTACTACAGCAATGCAAATAAGAATTTGAGTCAAAACATAACCAATGAAGCAAATCCACATATAAGATATCTTGTACAAAATAAAAGTGTCTCTAAAAAGGGAAAAAAATCATTAATTGCACAAATAAGTAAAGATTTTAAAAATAATAATGCATATTAGGGTTTCTTACAATTCTTCATTCAGAATATTGTTATTGTGTAATAATAAACATATATTGCATAAAATCTTTGAAATCTATATATATATATAGATCCTACTTCAAAGATTGATGTTCTTAAACCTGTAAATTTCACTATTAATTTTCTTACTTATTATTTTTCGGTTAATTTTAACAGAAGAGTTGTACTTGTTAGTAATGATCCATTCTTTACAGTTATATAAAGCTATATTTAAGTTTTATAGTTTGTATAAAAAGCCTATAAATGTTTCGTTTCCTTTAAGCAGTGTTTTATTTTTTATTTTTTTTATGGAAAATAGATTTTACAGTTGTATTTCGTTGAGATAAAAAATTTTAAAAATGGAAGGAAAACAAAACTGTCAACCAATTACATATATATGCATTTTTTTATAAGACTCTGTTTAGAAAAAACTTTCGTAAAGAAATTAAAAACTGGAAGTTTGAAGATAAAATTTAAAAAAATTGATAAAATTGAGGCGACTTTGATGGGATGACTAATTGAACCTTATTACCAAGATAATATATTCAAGGATAAATAATTCAAATATTTATTTACACAATACTTCGTTCAACCTGAATGGCAACGTGGTATAATGTAACACCTTGAGATTGTAGCTAGTTTGTATTTTATGGTTCAATGTATCGATGCGTAAAATAAAAAATGGGACATCCTGAATAACTTTTGATCAAATAATCGAATTTTCAAGTTTAGGACTCAATTTTAATAGTTCAAGGGTCAGGCCTCAAATAAACTAATTAATTAGTGCAGACAATACCTTAAGTTAAGGAATCAGACAAAACTTTCTCTAAATAACCATGTTTTTTTCGACGAATGCGGATTTTTTTTTGATATTCGAAATATGAGGAGGGAGTAGCCGCATTCTGGAAAATATGGTTCCAATAGTTTGGTTACGACAGAAGTAGTAAGTATGGACAACTTAATTTTGCTTATTTCATCATATCTCGCGAAAAAATTTTAAGCGAAAAGCTCATGCGTGTCTTTTACTGATTTCTTTCAACAGTTATAAATAACAAAAAGTAGAGCTAATATCTTCAGCAGCATGGTTATACCTTCATGATATTAACCAAGTTTACAAAACAGGAAGATACGAAGAACAGAAGAAAAACAACACGAGAATGTGCAATTGTTTCAAAACCTGTGGACGTAAAATTGCCCTATTCTTTTAAGTCGTTTATGAGTTACTGCTTCCCTTTTATTTATGGTTATTGTGTCACACATTTTTTTCTCAAATCCAAGTAATCATTCATTTTGTTATGATCATTATACTAATGAAATTTCTCTACAAAAAATATTATAATTAAACATTTTATTAACAAAATTATCTTTGTTTTTTCTTTCAAAAATATCAACTAAATCAAAAATAGTACTGAATGAGAAACAATCAGTAGAGGTGGCGAGCGGAACCACCTGGTTCATAAATAGTTTTTCTACTTTGTAAATAATTTGTAAATATCTCTTTTTGATTGCTTAATTAATTTGGAAAGATACAAATTATGAAAAATTAATGTATGTTTAAAGACAGAAATTTAGTAATACTTACGTCGTAAGTTTAGGAGTTTGCAAGAGGGTGATTGTAGCGTTCATTCCAGTGTTTGTAACATTTACTAAAGGACACATGTCAGTGGTGAGAGGTAAAGATGGTTTATTATACTTTGAATATATGGCTCCAAAGCCCAGCCATGTCATCAGTAAATATCCAACGACAAGGGCAACTGATACACACTAAAAGTAATTTTTCATAATATTAAGTTTCTTTTCATGTATATTTATTAAGAAAATTTATACTAAGTAAAGTTTCATTATGCAGGCAGAATTTCGTTGATAGAGACATTTGAAACCTAAAATCACTTGCAAAAAACTGAAGACAAAAAGAACACGCGTCCAGAACCAAGACTAAGATTTCCTTCTAGAAGAAAATAATTCTCACCGAGGATTTCTTCACTGAAAAGTGCGGTGCGTAGCAACCATTGAACCAACCAAAGTCCTAACAGTTACCTAGCAATGGTACTTTACTGCGATATTTATTCAAAATTTCTAAAGAGCTCGATACTTTTATTTTTTTATTGTCATTTCTGTAAAGTGAGGAGAAGAAATAATTAGTTTTTAATTCTTGATTTCTAGTACTGTTTTAATTTACAAATATTCTAGAAATTGGATCATTTTAATTTGATTTATAAACCAAATAAATTTTTACAAAACAAATTATATTAAGTAAAACTTAAATGAAACGTCAATTGGTTTTAGCAGATTTCAACCATCACTACCGAAACGTTTTCATAGTTTCATAAAAAAATAGTTCGTTGCCAAAAGCAATGCTCTTGACTTATCTATGCATATGTTTAAAAATTGCATTATAAAAAAAAATTTACCATTAAATTATAAAGATAACATTTTTTTCAGATTTGACTATTTGAAATATAATTTTTCAAGCCAAATAAAGAAACACTTTACAGATAGAGACATTTATCAATAATGTTTTACATCCTCTCACACTCAGGTACGCACTTTTTGGAATGATTGCACATCTTCTTAATAGCTTTGTTTATGTAATTATGTAAGAAGTTACTTCTGTCAAAAATACAGCTAAAACGGGACCTTCAAACGCAGATATAAAAACATTCATAAGTTGAACAAGACTTCTTACTTCCAAAAAACAAAAACTCAATCCGATGCTTGCTCCACCATACACAACAGCTGTAATAGGTAAATTTAGAACAATCATGTTAGTTGCTTTTTGTAGCAACATCCTATAAAATACATAATCGTGAACAGAAAGTTATGACATCAAAACTATTAATTTAAAATGAAATAATACGAGTGATGGTAGTATTAGTTTTAACTTAAAAAACCATTGATAAATCATATAATGGAATATATTCAAAACTAAATCTCCGTTAATTTTGATAAGTGATTAAAAATTTAAACAAATTGAGTGCATACTAAAACAAAATTTAATGCGAAATTAAGTACAAAAGATGGCAGCAAAGATCTGTAAAAAAAATTTCAGACCTTACTTCCAAATCACCCGTATCGTATAGTATCGGCCTATAAAACAAGCAACAATGGCCGCAAAATAATGATTACTACGTAAAATCTCTATAGTAAAAGAATGGACACTATCCGTAAAATAACACAATGGATGTTAACAGATCCCTTTTAAACGAATGGACACAGTCATGAAATTACAAACTTTTACGCCAAGGCTTTAAGTTTTCAGACTAACGGCCTGATTGGGGCATTATGGTCAGCATTACGCAAAAGCCACTTTTTACTTCCCATGCAAGCTGGAACCCATCGATCCGGTGGAGAGTAGGCTTCAAGTCAAATTGAACCCCAGGCTTTTGCAAAGACAGCCTTGTTATTTTAAACAGAATCATCTCAGACATTCGGTACTTAAAAAGAGTCAAGAAAAAATTAGGTAAGTTTTGATTTTAAGAAAAATGATAAATTACTTCTTCTGTCTCATTCAATTACATAAATCTTAATCTCTAGCTTTACAACCTAAAAAAAGGCAAAGGTAATGCCAGCCAGCTTCTGGCATCGTTTTTTATCCAAGGTAAATGACGCCCAACACGCCAAGATCTTTTTTTTTTTTTTTACATTGCCCAGCCACTTGTATCTCAACGATCTCTTTTTCTAGTACCAAAGGGTTTGCTAAAAACCAGTATCCTTACAGGTTTTCTAATCTTTGCAAATTTTTAAGTCGTCTTATACGATTTGGACATGGTTGGGTTCTTTAAATTGAATGTAGAGGTCACTATTGTAAAGTATTCGCCATATGTTATTTTCATTCACAGGGACATAACTTTTCCTAATTTTTTTTTTCAAACATCAGTAATTTATCTTCTGTTCAATTAGTAATTCACCAACACTCGCAGCCATAGAGGGCTAGTGGCTGAAGTAGAGTATTATAAATACTGTTCTTTGTTGCTCGTTTCGGTAGTTTCAATATAGTTTCAATGTATTATTATTTATACCCTTTAAAAACTACTATTTGCCATCTGAAGATTATTGATTTCTGCGGTTATGTCTTTATTTTTATTAATTGATGTTACATGATTTCTAAATTCAGCAACTCTATTGAATCTGTAATCATTCATTTTACGAAATTTGAAGTTGATCTTTTAGTGCATCATTTGCGTCGAACTAAAAATAATGAATTTCAATGCGTTTTTTGAAATTTATCATTAGACATGATGATTACTCACTTTTTTTCATCCCTCAGAAATTATATAAAGTTATAACTTTTTAGAAGTTAAAAATATTTACTATTATGTTCGCACATGTTAAGATTCTGAACACCCTTTTAGAGTAGAAAATGCCAGTAGATCAATTTTTCCTCACTATTAGATCAAAATAAGGACATGAGGCATGAGTACATTAATCCAAATTTAAGCTTAGGAAGTTGCATCTATTGTTATCATCAATATAATCTATATATGTTATATATATTGTATAATTACAAATATTAATAGGCGTCATTTTTTAAAGTTCTTATACACAATCGAAATATCATGCGGGTGAATGACCGCAAGAACTGTTATAAAGCTCAATTTTAAGCTTCATTACTACTTATCTAAGATAAGAAATCTAAGATAGTCTGATTTTTAATGTACTCTATGCATATAACAAATTGGCAGGAATAAACAGGGCTAATGTGTTTATTTTTTATCTAAATTTTATCTAATTATTTTGAAAGGATTCCCTTAGCCTAAGTAAAACTTAAAGGAAGGAAAAGAAAAACCATGTTAATCAAAATGATGCTTGAGAACATGCATCAGAAAATATAAACTAAAACTTTAAACTTACACAATATTTTTACCAACCACACAACTTTCCTGTCTGATATAACTCCTCGATTTCGTTCATACAGGGGTTTAATGAAATCCAGAACTGTCACAGTGGAAGCTGAATTAAGGCAAGAAGATATAGTACTCAAAGAAGCACTAAAAATTCCAGCAATACAAATCCCTGTCATTCCAGGTATTGAACTGAATTTGTTAACAATGAATGCAGGAATAATCTAGAATTTAAAATGCGTTATATTTTAAATTATATTTACTTTTGCTAAGTAATAAAGACATTTTTAATTTAAAGGGGGGAAAAACCTCCGAAGGAAAAAAACATCCTTAAAATTGAAAACCTTATGCATAGCTGCCAACTCTTCCGGTTTTCCGGGGAAATTTTATTTTCGTATTTAAAGTAGTAACGAATCTAACGTTATTCCATTAAACTTTTTGAATTATAATAATAATTATAAATTAGTTGTACCTCCTCTAAATATAAATAATTACAGCAAATTTATAAAAGTACAATAGTATTTACGATAGAAAATTTTAACCTGATCAAAATATAAATATATTTTTCAGTAAGATTGCTTTTTGGTAATTGTTTTACAACCATGAAAGTTGGCGGGTATGCATATGTCTAATTGAATAGACTTATTTTTTAATTTCTAAACTTATAATGAGTAGTTTTACTTAAAAGTTACAATATAGATAAAAGGAATTTAAATCGATTTAATGAAAACTTTTAAACATAATTTATAATTGTTATTTTTTGTGCTGTTTTTAAAGCACTAATAAAGCAAATGCCTTCTTGAAACCAATTCTTTCTTAACGAACAAGTACAGATAAAAAATTTTATATTTTCACTCAAAGCACATAAACCAAACATATCTTTACGTTTGAAAAAAGGGAAGAACGGATCAAATCAATAAATTGCATGAGATTTTAATGACATGATCCTTAGGAACAATAATGTAGAAATGATGATGTTTATGTTGCTACAACACATGTGTGTCTGAGTTCTAAGTCAAACTTAGAAATCTTACAAAGATGTGATGCCGAAAAATCAAATTGTTTCAAATATATTAATAAATGCCCGGATAAGTTTTTCTACACTAAACGAATTCTAGAAGAATATAAACATTTCACTCGAAATATCAAATGCAAATGAAAAATGTATCCTTTCTTATAGAGCAAAAGCCAGATATTGAAATTTTTTTTAAAAAAATCTAAGCAAATACCTTTAAAAGATGTAGTTTTAAAACCACAAGATAAATCAATAAAACATGAAATTATAAAAAAAAGGTGGCATTTATTGAAAAAAACAAAAATTTAAAGTAAAATAAACGTAGTATTTAAAGTAAAATAAACGTAAAAAATTTAAAGTAAAATAAACGTGGCGAACTAAAAAAGAACTTTGCGCAAGACAATCGGTAATAAATTGAAGATCGTTAGCTAAATTATGGAGCGAGATATCGCTTTTGGCAACTAATAGGGAGTCCTATGAAAATCATAAGGGACCTCCTATATTACAAACTAGAGTTATGAGAAGTAAGTAATCATTAGAAAAAACTTCCGGGTGTCACAAAACTGGCCGGCCTTTTACGACTGTGAGAGATAGAAAAATACAGGTGGCTGTATTCTGCTTAGAAAAGCGTAGTCAAATCGTCGAAAAATTTTGGAACTTTTTGTCACGGTGAGATAAATTTACAGCGAGCGATGCTTCACTCTTAATTGTTGCGAGAAGAGGCATATGTTCATGAAAGACTTGGAGCAATTTAAAGACAAATCACATTTCCAAATTGTTTTGGAGAATACTTTTGTGCTCATTTTTTGTGCAAACGCAGCAATTTTCAAAAGTATCAAAAAGTTCTCGACTTCTTTAAATTTTTATCAAGAGAAAATGTTAGGAAATTTTTAAATACTCATTT